AGTTTAATTGACTCCACTGCATCAGAAACAAGGAATCTGCTGTGGAGTCTCCCTTGGGTTCTCACAATACCATCAAAATGAGTGCTCTGAGAAGGTTACAATGCTCTGAACATGGAAATTTTGTATTATTTTTTAATTTAACTGAATAAAATGCATGACAGAAAGCCTAAACCTTGAATGAGATGCAAGATATTTCAGTGATCTCCTCCAAGATATTTGTTTGCTTAGAAACATGCAATCCTTTTATCAAATAAGGCATGAGGCTTCCTCTAAGGAGGACTGTACCAAGTACACATTGCTTTTAAATTACCACATCAGACTGTGTAGCATATGATCAAATGAAAACATTTGGAGGTTAAATGTTAATCTCACTTCTAATATAAAAGACAGACAGAGCAGCAACATGGCTTTTCTTTCTCTTTGGAAAAAAAAAGCCAGCAGTAAATCAGAGTGGAGGAATACACGTATCTCAGTCTTGCACTGTGCTCTGTGGTGATTTATACACGTGTCACTCTCTCTTGGAGATTAAGAAGGTGATACAGCAATATTATGCAGCACTAGCATGTCCAGAAGCAGCAATCTAGATTCAAGATAATTTAAAATATCTTATAAAGCTACTTATCTGCTAGTACGAGGCAGACATCAACAATCCCGACCAGCTTAATGAGGCTGAGCAACATCTGAGCCAACCAGCTTCCTGGTGCTTGCAAGCAGGACATGCCTTTAACAGCAGCAAGGGACTCGTCAGTCTTGCAGCAGAAAGTGCCCAACCTCTTCAGGTGCCAGAGGACCTGGGAAGGTGTCGGAGTCCTTGGTGCACACACACACCCCTGCGCCCAGCCACACGTGCAGGAAATAGCAGGTGGACGTGTCCAGCTCAGCTCCGCAAAAGAAAATGAATTAGAAAGGAAAAGGGGGGCTCGGGGCGATGATATTAATAGTCAGAGCAGTGCCTAGCACTCAGGGTGCTGTATCTGGGGGAGGCTGTGGAGAACTTGGCTCTTTTCTCTCCCCCAGCTTCATGTGCTAAAGTATCCAGCTTGACACAGCTCCTTGCTCCACTGGAAAACAGCACATCTAGATTTCTGACTTTTGGCTTTTTGTTTATTTTAAAAATTAGAACCATTTTGTCACTTAATCATGTTACTTTCCTGGGATTTTAACTTTCTTGGACTGCATTTTCTACAGGCTCTGCTGCTCAATAATCCCTCTGCCTCTCCATCTCATCGAATTAAGAGTCAGACCCTCCAGGCAGACGATGAAACATTCACCATGACACCATCCAAAAACAGATTTTTTTCTAGTTAGCAAAGAAAAGCTGGAGAATTTCAAGCATAGCTTATTAGTGCTTCAGGACTGAGGCCTGACCAAAGAATAATTTAAATACTGATCAACTCTGAATAAAGTAAATTCCTGCAACACGTGCAAAACCCTGCACCTCTCCTATGTGCTTATCTGGGGTGTTTGCCACTGCCACGTCAAGAGATCCTGATGGAGCTAAAGCAGGGAACCTGTCGGGGTGTTGTGTTTCATGCCCGAGACTGCCAGCTGAACCAAAACTTCTTTCAGAAGCAGATGCAAAAAGGTGAGATGATCAAGAGGGGCAGGAAGCAGCCACGTCGCAGCCCAGGAACGGAGCAGGGCAGCTCTGCCTTTGCTCTTAGGTTATCGCGATGCTCCAAGCCATTGGTGCAGGGGTGCAGATGGATGTGGATATTAAAGCAGGTCTGGCGACAGTGAAAAAAGCAACCAAAAAAAAAGGAATAAAAAAAGAAAAAGGCTCTGGAGTCAGACAGCTTGTGGAAATAGTCAGGGCCCGGAAGCCGTTTATTTCAGAACTTGGTATTGTGAACATCAAAAACTGGGCATCTTGATTAGTGTTTACAATGATCACAGCATTACTGGACAGTCGGGCACAACTCTGCTACACAGATATTTAAAAATAAATAAATAGAAGGTTAAAGAAAAATATCATACGGCATAGGACAGTACACGGCCCTGAAGAAACACCTCCTGCCAATACAGGCTCCTCTGTTCCAGCCAAAGCCAGGCTGCTAAGCGTGTGCCTTTTAAATCCACATTTTAACCACAGAAATGATACATCAGCCCTGGGATAGACAGAGAGATGTGGGAGACTGTGGGTCAGGTCTAATAGTGGTCTGCAAAGGGACCTGTAAGAAGGTAACGTGCAATCGCAGCCAGGCACTGCTGTACTGGAAGCAATCAGGAAACTTCTCGGTCACGGGGTAAAACATTTCCTCTGAATTTAAGGCCCAAAAAATCATTTAATCAAGGAGCTGCCCACACATAATGCATTTTCCCCAGAGAACATGGGCCCTGCCGCTCAGACTGCAAAAGCAGCTCACTGCAGCCAGGGACAGGCATGGAATACAGGGGGCAAGTCTCTCCAAGGTGACAAGGAGGCACCTGGCCTGATATGAACAGCTCTAAAGTCCATTGACTTTGCTGCATTGTGGGCAGGGCCTCGGGCAGCACCACAACTTGGGCTCCTGGTCAAGGGCAAAGGATTCGGGAGTAAAGAACAGCACAAATAACTGGCAGACGGATGGAAGGAGGAGTGTTATAAAAGGACAGCGTTCTCAGACGTATTAAGATTTCGATACAGAGCTAGAACGTTTAGTTACCCAAATCGGGGATTCTTTTTTCCTACAAGTCACCCTGTTTGGGAAGAAAAAGGAAGGGCAAAACACAGCTGAGAAGGCCCCAGGTGGCAGGTCCTGCCCTTCTGGAGCACAGGTGAGTGTCTGGCATGAACCTGGGCTCCTCCAGGGCTGGTGACACAGATAGGTGGGTGCTGATGTCCCATGTCCACGGCACGCAGCCTGGCTGCACCCTGGAGCTGCTCAGAGGACCCCTCTCCTGGCTGCATGCTCGACCTTTGGTGCCAAATGGTGCTTTCCAGGGAATAACTCGAGGTTCACTTCAGGACCGAGTACTGCCCCTTTCGTAAGGGAGATCTGCTAGTGCTCACGGAGGCCTCGGGTGCACCCGCAGCAACGATGCACCCGGGCTGGACGTGCAGGTTATGTACAAGGGCACAGGAGCCCAATGGCAGCTCTTTAAAAACAGAGTCATGGACCTCACCCGCCTGCTTTTGTGAACAGAGTCAAGCTAGCGCAATGAAACCAGCCATTCATTATATTAATTTATATAAGAGCATAAATAATTCCTCTACAATACATTGTACGTATCTGGTACATTATCTAAGCATGATTATTAGCTTCACACAATTCAAGCTTACTTGAAAAATAATATTAATAATAATATAAAAGCTAAAATGAAACACCACATCATTGTTATAGTCCCCTCTCGTCCTCGGACACAGCCCAGCTCAGTTCACGAGGGCATGCAAAGCACAGACACGGCACAGGAGGGCCAAGGGCAGGGAAAGGCTGGGGTATAAATACAGAGTGTTTCAGACTGCAAAGGGTCGCGAGGGGTTGGTGCATGCAGAGAGGGAGGGTGCGGGGAGAGCAGGGCAGCAGCCATGCTCACTCTGCTAGCCCTGGGCTTGTTCTCAGCCCTAGAAGGGTTATCAGAGTCTGAAAGAGCCCAAGGAGCTCCTCGTTGCCACCTCCCCGGTGGCAAATCAAGGACAAGAGCTGCTGGCCTGGCGGGCTGCAGCACCGCGGTGTCTGTTTGCAGCTGCATCAGTCCCACTGAGACAGGGCAACACAGCGTTGCCAGAAACCTTGTCCAGGGAAAGGCACTTCGTGGACCCTCCTAGGCTGCTTTAGAGCCCGTCTAACTCACTGGGCAGAGCAGCCCCATCACCATGAGAGGTTTCACAGGACACACAAACCCCACAACAGCCCCTCAGCATCACGCTCACGCAGGGGAACCTTCCCTGCCCCATGCTGCAGTCCTGTTCCCCGGTCCAGACACCGGTGTTAAAAAGGAGCACCTGAAAGAGGAGGCTTCTAGGCTAAAATTCTCCAATACTGCTGAATTAAGGTGTTTGGTTGCTCTGGCTTGCAAGGTCAGGAGACTCCAAAGCTGCACCTGACAACCACAGGTTACACATTCCTCTGTGGTCTGAAATAAAGAGCCCAGCAAAGTGAAAATGAGAAGCTCAAAGCACCAATCGAGTGGGCCTGGGACAGGTTTGCAGCAGCATTCTGAGTAAGTCACCAGCCCTTTGTCAGTTGTTATCCTCAGCAGCAAGAAATATACCCAGGTGTCACAAAACTTCACACCTCAGCTTCATGAGGACAGTGGCACTGGGCTGGCACCAGAACAACAGAGCTGCAAGGGTAGATTTGCTTCTGCGGCACCTACTGCAGAGGCAGCACCAAGCTCAGAGATGGCCTGTGTAACTGTTGGGTTATTTCCTAACTGAACTTAACACCAAAGTTGGCGAGTTGGGAAAGCACCTTCCCTGGGGAAGCAACACAGCACAGTCCGTATAGAACAGTATAACCGGCACTGAAATTGCATATTGCAGTCCTGATAACTGATAATCAACCTGCTCCAGGCCAAGTTACCCAAGGAGCGGTTCTGCAGACACCACTGGTTCAGATTTGGGGCTGGAAGTTTATAAATCAGAATGGCTCTGGATGGACCCCTTTCTTCCTTACTTTCCTCCTCTCCAAAAAGATCTCCTATCCTCTCCCACCAGCCCAAGCACAGCACAACAGGCAGAGAGGAGACAGGCAGCATCAGAGTCACCAAACCCCAATGTTCAACTGCAACAAGTTGGTTTTTGAGGCTCCGATTTTTGTCTGCCGCCTGTTTTTGGAAGTGGCAGCACCAACATGTGGAGGCACCACGGAGTGGAAGAACAAGTTGACACCTGAGCAAAGACAGCAGCTTCTTTGGCACTGGAAGTCACCCACACACCAGTATCTGTTTTGTTATCTTGCTTTCCCTTTGAAGCTTTTACTATTAAGCAGTTGAAAAGGTCTCTAGCTATAAGACCCTCCGCAAAGAACCATGGCTTCAATAACACAGCTTGGCCATAACACAAGCACCTTCCTAAAGTTCTGGTATGTAACAGTGCGACTTGTAAATACACTTCATTTGTGTTAATTTGCATAATGCAAAAGACAGATTGGTTTCATGTAGACTGTAATGTATCTTCCAGCTGAAGAGATTTTTTTTAAACTTTATGTATGGATCTGCGCTTGCTGCGCAAACAGAATTATGGTATTTCTGAGCACTATTGCTCACTTCAGAGCACAAACCCTGCCCTGTGGGGAGGGCTATCAGCAGCACAGCGGGGAAAACAGACCAGGAGAAGAAATGCAGCACAGCAGAAGGCTCTGACATTTCACAGCAAAACAGCATTAAGGTGCTCAACCCCAGGGCTCAAAGATAGGTCGTGCCTAAATTCGAAGAAATAGAAGACGGGAGGAAAACAGCTGCTCAGCACTGGCATGTGGGCACACGAAATGGGAGCAAGAGAAACCCGACACAGCCCTGCCTTCCAGCTCCTGCAAGCCAAGTGTCTGGAACGCTTGGCAAGCGCGGTGGACGGAGCGGTCCCTGGGGGCTTCCTTGCTACTGGGCAGGGAAAATATGGACAGATTAAATAGAAAAGAAAGCTCATTGCCATTAGAAATCAGTCATGATACTAATTTAAAAACATATATCATGGCATAGGTTACTATGACACTTTAAGAGCCTGTCAGCGGCTCATAGCCCTCCCTCTTGCAGCAGCCTCAAAGACCCTTCCAACCACGAGATGCCTCAAAGACCCTTCCAACCACGAGATGCCTCAAAGACCCTTCCAACCACGAGATGCCTCAAAGACCCTTCCAACCACGAGATGCCTCTCACCATTCAGACTCTCAATGGGGCAGAGCTGCATTAGGGAAGAGCTCCTACCCCCAGGGCCAGCTAGTGGCACGTGCACATGCTAAAAGCACTCGTCAACCCACGCAATGGTGGAAGACAAAGATGCGAGTCTTTTGCTATAAAATTAACATTATGGGGAAAAACAGAAAGCTTTCAAGCAGGAACAAAGGAGAAAAATTGCCCCAGATGGGTGTATTTTACTTGCTGGACATAATGGCCAGAGAGAAGAGCCAGACTGACTGTGCAAGTCTTCAGCCCAGGGCTGAGGAGCTTGTCCCCTTCTGCCTTTTTGCTGTCTAGACAGACTCGCATGGCTCCCTACAGCATTTGTTTCATTTTATAAAAGGTCTCTTAATTCAAAAAGCTTCCATTGTCTACTGTAAAATAGGACACAGTGGTTATTCAGCACCCTGAAAGTCCAAGAATGAAACAAGAACAAAAACCCTTGGACTGTGAGCTGGAAGACAAACCTTTTGGGTCAAGGCTGGTTACTAAAAGGAAGTAATCAGGCTCCCTAAACTCCTAAAAGGGAATTCCGAGATGGGAAGAACCAGACTGCAAGTGTTGCCTCCCTTCTGTGGGAAGAAGGTAAACTGTTTCCAGAGCAGCAATCGTTCACGAGCACCAGAACTGACAAAGATGTTCCATTTACTTGGAGGTGGATAAAGCAGTTCTCAAGGCACAAGTAAAAACGTGCTCCAAGGAAGAACATACAAGGGAAGCAGATTTTTGGGTCCACTTCCTACGCCAGGTGCTAACTTGGAGGCAGGCAGCTCTTCAGGCAGGAGCTGCACCTTCCCCGGGATGCACTCAGCTTATTTTTGGCAGTGGATCTCCTCAGAGCTTTCTAGTGCTACATTTCTGCTTTCACAGTGAACGCTGGTTTGAAAAACAGCAAGGAAAGGCTATGAAGTATCTTTTGTTTCCTTAAGAAAGTAAGATCTTGCCATTTCATCAGCATCTGCAGGAGCCAGCAGTGCTTCGATCTTTCAGTAGGAGATGCAGATATTCTCTAGTTAACAATTTAATTCTGATATATTTAAAAATATACACACAGGAAGATCAGGACACCAGACTGTGATAAAGGCAAGTCCCACAGAGCTGTTCTTAATAGGAGACATTGGCAGATCTTTTGCAACTCTGCTGTTTCCTCTTGAAAGGCATTTCTAGCTAAGAGCCCTGAATCCAGGTAACAAACTCAGGGGAGTGACTTATAAAAACAGTGCAGAAGAGCCAGACTGCTCTCCCAAAAGGGTCCTACAAAACAACCCTACACAAACCTAAGCAGCTGACAGCCCCTTCCTTCCCACCCACTAACACACAGACGCTTTCAGGGGAGGACTAAGTCTCTAAGTCTCGATTTCCAGAGCTCCTTTTTCAGCAGGGTTAGCACCAAGGCCATAACTTCCAAAAGGAACCTCCAAGTAACAAACATAATTGACCCTAAAAGCATGTGCACCCTCTGCAGAAGCTCCCACCCTTCCTCCAGCACGTCCTCCCAACTTGTTTGCAATGCTAAGGAAAGCACTGACTGAATAAATTCTCATGTACAACAAAAGCTGATCACAGAGAATAGCATTTGGCCATCAGTCCCATATTTCTTCTCCAAGTCTGCAGGAGTGGAGGAACATATGGATTATTTTTTCCAGTTGTACTTTTACACAGATGCTCCTCTTAGAAAAAAATCCATCCCACCAAAAAATAGCATAGAAATAAGAGCTGCTGGCAGATTTGAAGAGTTATACTAGAACAGCTGAATATCTTCAGGTATCTAATCAAGACACACTGAACTATAAAAGCACCTTCACATAAGTTACTGAAGTTCCAGTCAAAAGCACTTCAGGTGTGCAGTTTAAAACAGGAGTCACAGCAGAATGGCAGAGCGAGAGAACATGCAGTTAAGTGATGCTCCTCGGTGCAAGGCAAAGAGAACCAGGTTATAAGCTACATGTTTCCCCTCCTCATATGCCCTTATACCATGTGTTGTTACTATGGTTAAGTCACACATTAGGAGAACTAGGAATCCAGAGGCAAGTTCCCATCAGTATAAAATTAAAATGATCAGCACCATTAGAAAACTGAACGTGGCCCAGGCCCCACGAAGAATCAAGGCAGAGGATTCGTCTGGGACTGGCTAGGGATGGACAGGCAGTAGGAACTGGACGGAGAAGCCAGGACCTCTTTGGCTGGAGAAGCGGAATGGGGAAGAAGCTGCATTTATGGAGCAGTCTGTGAAGCAGTTGCTGGAAGAACTGGCTTCAGGGGTTGAATATTTGCACTGCTGACAGAGGATGCAGGAAAAAAAAGGGAGAAGAGGCAGCAGGAGCTGCTTCCTTGGCTAGTACCAGCTGTGGGAATGCTCCAAACAGCTCATACAGTAGGAAGCAAGAATGTAAGGAGGGAGGAGGAAGAAAAAAAAAATTTAAAAAATAAAAATAAAAGAGAGGGAGAGAAAAAAAGCTCTTCACTGCTCATCTAATAAGAAAAAGAAAAATGAAGGGAAAACAAAAAGAGGAGAGAGAAGCACCAGTCGCACAGAGTTCACAAGGCTTTTTTCCTCCTTCCCCCAGCGTCACTGCTCTGGCTCTGACCTTCGGGGCCGGTATCTCCGTTGGCCCGTTGACTTCCGCGTTGCCACTGCCGCGGTGAAGCCCACCAAGCAGCACAGGGACGTGGTGCCAAACTTGGCCGTGTCCAGCCAGTTGGGTGTGTCTGTCTTCAGGTACTTCTCAGCTAAATGCAGACCCATCACTATGAACCACAAGACTGAAGCAAATGCATCAATTCTTCGGAGCCTGCAATGCCAAAAAAACAAACCTCAGTAAGACACAAGATAACCTTTTAATTGACTGCAAAGCTTCTGGTCCTGCAAAAGAGAGGGAGTAGCACTTTGAAGATGAGTTATTTTCTGTGGACACAGATCAAAGCAGGTTTTATGCTATCTCTTACTAAGATTATCTCATCTGTAGCCTCTCTCATCCCTGTGAGAAGTACCAAAGTGGGTTAGTTCCACTGTCTACTAAATTTATTAGATTACTGAGTTGTAGGGAGAGCTTTTCATTCCCAGTAATTAAAGTTGGGATTGAATGAAACATGGCAGAGTTGGAACAAGCTCTGCTGTCTCCATCTAGCTTGCCAGGAAGCCAAACAGTAACAAGGAAAACTGCTGCTCAGTACAACAGTCCCCATTCTGGAGCTGCCCCTTGGTTCAATGAGTCAAGGCAGGACCAAAGGCTCCCCATCAAAAACCATTTAAGAGAAGAAGCAGTAACAAGAGCACACCCACCTGATCCGCCCAGCCAAGACCATAGCCAACAGACAGGTGAAGAGCCCAAGGACAGCAACTGCCAACTGATGGTTCTTGCCGTACGTCCACGCGACGCTCAGGTTCTGCACCATCTGCTCCGGGAGCAGGCGGAGCAGCTCTTGCCATCCTGCCACTTTCAGGGAAGTGTCATTTCCCGAGTCTGCTTGGAAGCTCGTGCCAGTCCTGTTCCAAACAGATGCCGGAGCAGAGGAAGTGGGAGAAGGGACTGCAGCATTGAGCGAGAAGGGATTGCTTGACCCATACCAGGCCATCAGGACCAGGATCACACAGCTGAGGAAGGCCAAGAACCGCAAAAATATCACCTGAGCTGGGATGGTTATGGAAGTGGAAGAGGATGAACACAAGTTCTGCAAAGAAGACAGAGAAATATCTTGTCAGAAGCTAAATAAACTGGGGTACAGCCTTGACAGAGTGCTTTAGGAAACATTTCTAGACTGCATCATTTACTGGACAGCCTTGTGCAAGTCCTTGATAGTATCTACACTGGATCTTCCAAACCCGCCCAGATGCCACCCTGTGCCATGTGCTCTAGGTGTGAGCAGGGGGTTGGACTAGATCATCTCTAGTACCAGCCTGTTCCAGGGCTCTGTCACCCTCACAGGAAAGTTCTTCCTCACGTGGAGATGGAACTGCCTGTCTTTCAGCTTGTACCCATTCCCCTTGTCCTACCACTGGCCATTAGTGAGAAGAGCTTGGCTCCATCCTCCCTACATTCTGCCCCAGGTACTTGTACGTATTGATCAGATCTCCTCCCATTGGCCTTCTTGGCCACGAGGGCACCTCGCTGCCTCCTGGTTAACTTGTTGTCAACCCAGACTCCCAAATCTCTCTCCCCAGACCTGCTTTCCAGCAGTTCAACCCCTACCTGAGCATAGGCCTTGTCAGTCTCGCGACGTTTGAAGTGGTGGCTGAGCAGCAGCGCCCGGAGCTGCCGATTCTGGTGTTTTATGTAATACTCCACAGCAGCCTGGCACGGACGGCACAGCTTGTAGGTCTGCTCCAAATGGTGCTTATACACCTCAATCTCCTCATCGTATTTGCCCTGGTGAAAGGGAAGGAAAAACAGGTGAGAACTGCAGGTCCGTCGCTGGCTGTCACGCTGCTGATGGACAAGTGACCCGTGCTCTCAATTTCCAAAGCCTCACAGGCCCCTGACACCAGGCCCAAAGAGAGAACAAGCTGGAGCCCAGCAAACCAACCACCTTCCCTACAGCTAAGCCAGCTGTAAAGACACCTAAGGCCTCTGGAAATCCCCATAGAAGTCTAATGGGGCTCTTTCAGGGATGTTGAATTCTTAATTCCTGTGACTGAATTTTGCCGTGATTGTTCACTCTGTGAGGAGAAAAACAAACAGACCCCACACCACTTAGATTTGCCCTTCTGCTCCTCAACGTGATGAGAGTCCTCAAAAAAAAAAAGTGCCCCTCCACATCACTGTTAGAAAGCTCCTTCCAAAACTCAGCTGCATTCTCCAAGGCTGCTACTGACCCAAATGCACAGCTGAGAGGAGCTCAGATGAGGTGGGAGCTGGGGGGAGCACTCCCCTGCTCCCCCTTTTGTGGTTGGTAAAGGGTTTTCCAGGCACATGGATACAACATTAAGCCTCCTGCACAGCCTCTGAACGAACACAGCAGGGAGTGCAGAGGAAAAGCTAAAGGTCAGCGTGTATTTATCTCTGTGCTAATCACATGCAGCTTCTCTTGGAAGCCAGAAAGCCAAAAGCAGCACTGCAGCCAGCCGAGGGCTTGCAGCAGCTCAGGCTTTCAGAGGTGGGAGGCCATGAACTGTGAAGAGAAGACACCAACGTGCAAACATATTAAATCATAAGAAGGTCAAATAACACTTACCTCTTCCCTTGGTGAGAATGATGCCAGCTGCTTGATCTTTGTGGTTTGATGGTTGTTGCATTTCTTGCAAAGCAAAATTTGGCTGCTCACCCACTGCTGGGGTTTGGTAGGATCACAGAAAGTTGTAGCACCCGACACAACATGGTTAAGATGCTCCATGTACTGAGCAGGGATGGGCTTGTTGTAGTCTCCATTCTGACAAAAAGCAGGAGAAGAGGAGGAAAGAGTAAGCAAGCATTCCTGAAATCAAAATTAGGTCTCCCCAGGCTCTGCAGAGATTCCACGGGCTCTGCCACTGCTTCACCTCCACAACAAAAAAAAAAATATATGTGAAAAGACAACAAGAGACTTCAAGTCTTCTCCCCCATCCACCCTTACGGGATCCTTAAGGGATTTTCTTGTTTTTTCGTTTAAGACAGACTTTGTCTGTTCCATACCCTAAATGCAGTAATTCAGTTGCTTCCAAAAACGAAAATCAGAAAAATGACGATTTCACAAAAAAAAAAATCTGATGAGATACTGGTGAAAACATCAAGGCCCTCTTTGATCTCTGAAGCAAGGAATTTGCCAGCATCGTTCTGTGTCAGCACATTCCTCTGCACACACAATCTTGCTCAAATTTGAGCGAGCAATTGGCTGCTGAGCTCACAAGTGCTCAGCACAGAGCTGCCAGACATCAAATTACTGAATATTCCCCAGCAGCATCACCCCAAATGGGAATATTCCCCAGCAGCAGGCCCCCAGCACCCCAAATGGGAAGGAGAACTTTGGTACAAGTGCTGCTTTACAGGGCATGTAGCTTCCAAGCCATCCTGCAAGGAACACTTGTAAAATACCTCTTGGAAGCCGTTGTACTGCTCACAGTTGGGGCAATCCCAGCAGTTGCGATTCCCATATGGCACCACCGTGTCCTGGTTGCAGAACCAGCAGTTCACCGTGACGTGCGTGGGCTTCTTCCTGTTAGGAAGAGAAACACGTTAGAGACCAACACCAAATCTTCCTGGTCTAAAGGAGAGCAAGGGCTTTCAAAGAGGGAAGAGCAAGGCAACGTGGAATAACAACTAGCCTTCCCATTCAGTATCTTTGACAGCATGACCCACAGAAAACATTTTACAAGAAGAAAGATCATTAAAGCAGAAACATTTTTGTCTCATGCTAATATCTGGACATGCCAGAACTTCAATAACAGCCCCATGAATATACCACTAGATTATTTTTTCTAAACAAATAACCTCCATAGTCACTAGCATTAGCTAGTAGTGGTGTATGATAAAGGGTTCTGGCACCCATTCCCAATTGTCACCGTTTCCATGGGAAGGGGAAGTTACACCGTGCAAGAACTGCATGTGACGATATTCAAAAACCCAGGAAATGAGCTCATGCTCACAATGCTGCCTGCCCAGCTTGTTACAGAGTTTTTCAAGGACGAGGGCGCATCAAATTAGGCCACAGGTTCATCACAGGAAGATGTTTCTTCACACGGTGCTAGGTAAGTAAGAAGAATCAACACATCTTCCCTAATTTTTAGGCAAGAGAACCAAAGGGGCCCTGCCTGCTACAAAAAGTTTGCAATTGTCCTAAGCCTAGGCATAAGACCTGAAAGGAGGTTGCCGGCAGGTCAAGCTACACAACCAGGCTGGCCCAGGAGATGAAACAGGACCCCAGGGACCCATTTGTGTCTGGGGAAGCAGAGCTGCTTGACAAAGTGTCACACACACCTAAAGCAGCAACAAAATCAACCAAGCAGTGGGGCAAACAGCAGCCGCTTAAGCACATGCAAGTTGGGAGCAATTGCTCTGCTTCCAGCTACAGAAAGTGTTCTCTGCTACTACAATATTCCATAAGGAAGCATCTATGGAAAGACTGCACCATCCGGCACCCTGCAACCAGCCAGCCAGGTGGTCCTGCTCCTGGCTGAGAAAGATCCCCCTTAGCTACCACCTCTGCAGCTGGATGTCTACAATTAAGATCCTTGCCCCCTTCCCATTTCCATAGACCACCTCTTAAAATAGTTTCCTAAAACATCGAACCCTCAAGGGATGCTTGGGCCTCCTTTTTAAGTGTCAATAACAAGTTCAAAAATGAAGCACAAAATAGGAATCTAAAAAGCCACAATACACAAAGGGTTCTCTCCCAGATGCTAAAGGAAAAGAGCTGGAGCTACTGGGGTGACAGATTCCCTCTCTAAATAGACATATACACCCACACTGCTCCCAAGATGAATATTCTCTGCGCAGCTCTTTGGTTCCCTGCCAGGGAAGCTCAAAGCAGTAGCTGATCTGCTGGTTAAAAATACCACCATTAAGGCAGACCAGAAATAAAAACACACCCAGAGAAGGCCAATCCGAGCTACCACTGTCCGAGAGCCGAGTGGACCATGTGTCAACAGCAGCGTGAAGGCAGAACTGCAATATCTATTTGTGCTTGTTTCATCTCACCAGCATGGGTGGAAAAGCAGTGAAAACATAAGGCATAGGCCTCTGCATGTTATCCACCTGGAAGCAAATCCTCCCTCACCTTGAGCATAGGAAAAGCGACCCCAATTCCACTCTCTGATGTATGTTATTGCACAATGAAATGCAGTTGTCCCTGAACTAATACAGGTGCTGCAGGGAGCGTCACAGTCCCACCTTCACGCTGCTGTGGAGATGTCCTCTAGCATCTATGAAAACAGGACACGTTACACCTGAGTCTGCAGCTACCTCCCCATCCATGACGACACTGCAGATCGAAGCGCTGATTTCCAAGATGACAGAGAACTGGAAAGCACAGGCCAGAAAGGCAGCAAAGCATCTATGCTGTGAAACAAAAATATGAAAGAGCAATACCAAACCTGTGTGAGAAAGTGCTAATATCAGAGATTGAATTGCTCTCCATCTCTTCCAAACAGCATTGCACTTCTCATTCTTGCAGTTAAGGAAGTGCTACTAAGGGTTAAACAGCAGCCCTTCATTCCAACAGCGTATGCAAAGGGAATCTGTAACCCTGGATTATTTAGGATAAAAAGCCATAATCCTTCCTTTTGTAATCCTATAATCTGTTGTCATAGAAATAGGTGTGAAAAACAGAAGATTCTAACCTGCTGGATGCAGAAGGGCGAGAAAAATGACATTTGTGTAGGCATGAGGCTACTATTCTAGTAACCAGTAGAAGCTAAAATAAATAAATAAATCCTAATTTGGAGAAACTTTCAAATACTGGACTCGAAGGACTGAGACTTTGGAACTATACATACCTTGACTGAATTCAAGCAGTGATTAAATACCTGGTCTCCAGAGCCAGAAATTCTGAGGTGACTGATAATGCCAAGTTTTGGACAATAATTTCCTAGTGACATCAAAAATGCTCCTTCTGCTGTTAATCTAGCAGTCCTTCAAGTCAGCTGATATAAGGAACACGTGAAAGACCTGCTGGACTGATTTTAATATTGTCATGAATTTATTTTACCTAAATAAAATTTGGAAAAAAAAAAAAGTTTCCTCCTTCACAGTAAAACCTACATAAGCATCGACCATGTGTTTAATCCTTTACAAAAAAGACTAGGTGGACCATCTGTAAGGACTTTATAACCTAACACCGCATTAACTGGAATTAGCTTCACTGGAGAAGGAGCCACCCTGCAAACTAAACCTGAGCAGCAAGCAGTGCCCGAGCTCCTGCACCCAGGGACTGCACGAGCTGCTGAGCACAGGGCCTGTGCTCGGAGAGCTGCCTGCCCTGGATTAACAGCTCTGCACGCACAAGGGCTTCCCTTCAACACAGCATTGGGGTTTACCTGGAGTAAGGTTGGTTCCGAGATCAACACCTAGAAGAATACGCACGTATTTAAGGTCTGCTTACACTCATACTTCAAATGGGCTGCCGGAACAACAACAGAATTACATGAGAATACAATTTAATCAACAGTACAGGCCAAATGAGTTACCTTTTAAAAAAAAGTTCTTGAAATATTTCTATTTACATCCATGCCTTTTTATTTTCCCCCTGCCACTGCTGTGTCAAGAAGACGTGGATGTGAGGTTTTCTGTATTCTTAACGGTGCCCACAGGGGAATATGCAATTCCTAGCCGAGTTACCCCCCTCTTCTGCCAAGGATTAAAATAAGCAGCAAATCTCCATCAAAAGTCTTTCAAAGCAAAACACTTAATGCTGGCACAACCATGTCACTAAGCAATTACACAAACAGCTATGCCAGCAAGTCTGAAGGAGGAGAGGCTCCTTGCACAGACCAGCTGGGATCAGAACATCCAACGGCCCTGCCGCTTCCCAGCGCAGCTGGCCGGATTCCGGCACGCAAACGCTGTTGCAGACACACTGAACTGGCAGCTGTGGACAGGGCTGGAGATGTAGCCACACGGGCAGGTTCCTGATCAAACAGTGTCACCCCTTGCAGCATTGCCTCCTTCTAGGGTCACACTTACTGTCCCCTTGACAAGCGAGAAGGTGCCCAGGGCACCCAGGCTTGCAGCTCACACTATCCACCCCAAACGTCACCACCTGCCAAACTGCAGTTTTGGGACATGGGAAGCAGCAACTTTTCACGCTCTGCATCAGGAGAGGACCCTGCAGAAGGGCCTAACAAAGGACCTCACAGCACAGCAATTCCCCACACTGCTACAACCCACTTTCAGGAATGGGTGCTGGCTTACCCGGACTCTGCTTGTAGAGGATGATGAGGACGACTCACTGACTCGTGAACACAACAGCTCAGGGGCAAGACCACAGGCTTTAAGGTTTTCCTTTCTTGCCCAAACCTATAAGGGTTTAGGGAGCTCCGACCATTTAGCAAATGTTTTATCCTCCCTAGTACAAAGAACACAGCCTTGTATGTCAGCATGGTTAAAGTAGTGACATTTCCTATGTTGACAGTTACCACAGGACGAGTTTGTACTGAGCTGTTATTCCGATACACTGATTTCCTTTTCTACAGGGGCTGAAGCTGTTGTGATAAAGGCACCTTGCTGGATATATAAGCACGTTCTGAGAACTGAGCAGAGCCACATCACAACATTAATACCAAATAAAACAGCAGCATCATGTCTGCATTTGAATTGATCGCTTATAAACCCAAGCCCCTCCATATTTTTGAAAGATTCATTTACTAAGGCAGTGTAAGGAGCTAGGCAATATCAGAATAGTACAGAAGAGCACAAATACGTTACCCCGAACAACTATCAAGGTCACCTCCTAGAAATATTTACAATTCACCAGCATTTTTCAAGGACCCAGGAAGAAATTCTTGCCATTCCACAGAGACCTTCTATTTGATGAAGTTAAGCAAAACAGGTCAAATCTCTCGCTTCAAAAGGCAACGGGGTCAAAGAAATGCTGCCCGTTTCACCGAGGATTGCTTTAGGCCACTAGCGTTTCTTAGCTGCTCAAAATATGCAATTGAAATGCCAAGTATTATACACAGGCTAATATACCACTGACCTCTTTATATGGTTCTATAAACTGTAAGCATTTTGGAGCAAACTTGCAGGATTTCATTGCTGATACCTTTCAAAGCATGAACTGTAAGTGAACCTCATCACCGCCAGCCCTTGGGGCCTCCTTTTACTCCAGCAGAAACACCTTAGAGAAGAGCAGGCTGCTGAAGTCTGCTTTGCTACAGTCTAAAAATACCTCTTTTTCCACACAGGTTTTTCTACCCATTTCAAGCTAAGCTAGATGGAAGAAACCCATCCCTCCCAGCACTTTTCAAACCTTGCTTTTCAGCTAACCTGTGCAAGTTTGTTCTGAGATCACAAATGCCCTAAGCAATTAAGAACAAAACGAGCCAAGGTTTTTTTTTTTTTTTGTCACTAAATAACAGCTTTGCCATTGCCGCGTTGACTCCTATTTGATCTTCGCAAATCCTAGCAGCGCACCGGCACATTTTAAAGTTATTTCCGTGGTACTCCGGCACTGTCCCCCCCACAACCCTGGAAAAGATAACAGGAAACATTTCACCTCCAAATCACCCAGCACAAAGCGAAGCAAAACGCTCCCTCTGCCTCAAACAACATAGCCCGAAAGACAATAAAAGCTAAAAACGGCCAAATCGCGAGTAGCGAAGAGCCCCTCAACGCCACTGGCTACGGCAGCGCGAGGAAGCAAGGCACGAGGAAGATGCTCTAGGTTTTTAAGCGCGGCTCCCGCTGCACGACGTCCTGGAACACAAAGACACGGAGCGATGGGAGAGGGGCGAAGGGAAGGGAGGACGCGAGGGGAGTTGGTCGCTGGCGGCAACGGGCCCGTCGCGGCGCAGGGGGCGGCCCGGCCCCGGTCTCGTCCCCGGCCCGTCTCGTACCTCCGCGCGAGGCGGCAGAGCAGCAGCCCGGCGGCG